TATGTCTAAATGTTTATAAATCTTGGGAACTTTATGCCGAGAAAGAAAACTTTTATTATAAGACACGTGTGCAATAAGAATTAGAAATTTGATAAATGTACAATCAAATTTTGTTTGTTAAATTATTATTTAAATTTTTGTCGTATATTTTATCTTTTATTTTAAGAGATATTGCTTTTTTAGAGAAGAAGAATAAATACTAATTCTTTTACCACGTGGCGTCCAACTACCCTATTGTGTGTGAAACGCGATAATTCTAAGCTAGATAGAGGGATATTCTTAGTCGATCGCCATCTACCGATCGCGACATATTTTTTGATAGATCTTTTGCATATTTTGATTTTTACTTGCTTACTTTGTTCTATTATAAAATTTATGTTTGTAATTATAATATTTATTTTGTTTCTATTAATTTTGTTTACATTTTAACACTTAGTTTGTCTCTATTGATATGTTTAATAAACATATGTTTGAAATTACATTCTAATTTTATATTTTTTCCCTCGTACATGAGTAGATTGCGAGGTCAATTTATTAAAAAAAAAAAATAGCTTCCTTATACAAAAAGGTTGAGTAGCACTGTATTCTAGACTTCTGTACTGATATGCAGTTAACACACCATGTGTGACGCAAAAGACGTTTGCGATATACACAATTGTAATGTTTGCAACTATTTTATAAACAAAAAAATTAATTGTCAAAAATTAAATATAGTTTATGGACGGACTTGATGTTGTCTTTATACTTAAAAATTTGTTAAGTTTAAACTTTTCGATTTTTAGGATGTGTCGACCGAAGGGAAGAAGACTTCTTCGTCGTTAATTAAAGAGATTCAATCTTCACTCTTGAAACAACTTGAAGAGACTCAATCTTCACTCTTGAAACAACTTGAAGAAAGACAAAAGATTAAAAGGAGATTAAAAATTTATTACCCAGAACTCGAATTCAAGGAAATAGACTTAGAAACCTTGAAGAAAGTTAGTATATAGGGTATAAACAAATAAAATAAAATATATCTAAAAATTTTAACAGTATAAAATAACATATTATTTTTTTCTATAAAAGACTCTTATTTTTTATTCTCTTACACATATAAGATATCGTTCAATATTATTGCTAATATCAAAAAGAATGTGAAGTAAACTGAACAACGAAATACTTAAACTTCCAAATCTTTTATAAAATATATTCAACTAAAATTCTCTTTTTTGCATTTTTAGTTGATGTTACTTTCTTTAAAACTAGAAAAAAATGTAACAAGATTCTATATAATTAAATTCTATATAAATAAATTATAAGTTATACTACTGTAATATTATACTAATTGTACTAATTATATTAATATCACAGTAGTATAATTTTTTGTCAGTGTCAATTATGAAGTAAATTACTATTTTACTCTAAAAATATTTATACGCATTTTATAGTTAAAGAAAAAGTGTATTAAGTTTTATTCTGTTTGATTTTTAGGATTTGATGGACGTGAATGCATTTGCGCGTGCATTCAAAAAGATTGTTTGGGGAAAAAATGCGATAGAAAATTGGACACAAGAGGTGACTGCAATGCCAAAAGAGTGTCCATTATTAGAATTATCAATTGAGAAAGAAACGGAAGAAATGGAAAGCAGTGATACGAAAGTGATACAGAAAGATACGAAAAGCAAGGTATGAGATTAGAAAATGTAAAAAAATAATATAATACACATCTGAAAATTATGATAGTAAAATGACACAAATATTCGCTATCACAACAAAAATTGAATCAAATACTAAGATTGAAATTTGATAAATACTAACTTAATTGTGTTCTTTTATCAATTATTATTTTTTTCTACAATAAATTGTTTATCACAAATAATTGTTTATCACAATTTTTGCTCTCTCAAACATAAAAAAAGTACGAAGTAAACTGCATGGAAAATACTTAAATTTTTTATTCTGTTATTATACAATATAAATAAAACATTTTCTCTCACGCTTTTAACTAACGCATTGAAAAATTCAATAAAAAATATTTAAAAATAATAATAAGATAGAAATAATTTCAGCTCTTAAATTATATATATATTTTTTTCACACACATACAAAAGTCATGGGTACTGTGTGTGAATGTGTTTATATAAACAAAATTTTTTATATATGCATATTATAAAATTTTGATTTTATTTGTAGATTTTTGTTTTATAACATTAAAAGTTACGAATATGTTTTATTGTATTATTATTTGAGTGTAGGTATGAGATAATAAAATTACACATTTTATTTATTTCAATCTTTTTCGTGTAATAGGATTGTGTAATCAGATAAATAAAATTAGAAAAATATGTCTATTAATTATTTTGTTTTTTTGCAACTTTTATTTTTATTTTTGTTCTTGACTTTTATTTTTTGCACGAAACAAATGATAATTTACAAAGAATGATACAGTATAAATGGTATGATTTTGTCAATGTCAGTATGTGACAGATCTATTTTACTATTAAAGCATTTATTTATAAGAATGTTATTTATTGTAAACTTAAACTCTTCGATTTTTTTTTAGGAAAGTATAAACAGAACAGAATTAGACAAATATACATTTGAAGAATATCTAAGTATGCTACTTCAACGCAAATGCAGTAAACTGCTTAAAAAACACGATCAATATGTGCAGCAAATAGAAGAAAAGTCAAAGGACCTAAATAACAAAATAGAATTTCTAAGTGAAATGCATGAACGTTTGCAAATAAAATTCAACAACATAAAAAAGGTTAAAAAATATATAATAATAAAATAATATACGTCTAAAAAAGTTCTTATTAAATTAGCATAAATATCAGTTATTACTTAACAAGAATCGAAACAAATAGTTTCAAGTTTCAAGATTGAAATTTGTGTGCATAATAAATGTACATTCAATTTTACTGCTAAATGTTGTTAAATGTTATTACAAACGTTTATTTAATAATAAAAATATTTCTATTTTAACTTTTAGGACGACTTAACAATGTACGGACATACTTGCGGAACGCTTTTGACAAAATTGATGAAGCGAGATCCTCAGCTACGTAATGAAGTTTACGTCTCGTACAAAAAACAATATAAGGGACAAAAGGAGGCTGTAAAAAAAAGAGATAAAATATTAGAAGAAGGTACAAAATGGTCCTACCCTGGAAAGTGTATCACAACACAGGTTAGAGAATACAAAAAAAATAAATTATGTCTAAAAATTTTGATTCTTTTAATCTCTCCCACACATCATGCATATCCGGAGGACGTCCAGAAGATATCTCGAAAATATCTTTGAGAGATACAATATCTTCGGGATGTCCCCCGAACGTCCTCCGGACATGCATGTTGTGTGGGAGAGATTAAAAGAATGTCAAGTTTGACAATTGTTGAATTTTAAGCGCTTGAACGTCTCGATGCGGCAAGACAATGCGACCGAATGGCTGAAAGCATTGTAATTTTATTGAACGCAATACGCGACGCGCCATTAGTACGCATATATTAGTATACTATGCGTGCATTGAAGTCACTTGGCATTCAGAAAAGAAATTCACTTTCTAGAATATTTTTTAAATATTCTTCGATTTTTACAGAAAGATATTGAAGTTTCGTATCAGAAGCAATGTGATGAAAACTTACAAACTGTAAAATCACTAATAAAAATTGAATATGCAAGTCTATTACGCAAAATGGTTACAAAAAGTTTGCAAGAGGTAAGAGAATTTAAAAAATTAAAATAAAATATATGTCTAATAACTATGATAGTAAAATGATACAAATATATCCGTCATCACTCAACAACAATGAAAAGAAGATTAAAATTTGATAAATGTGCACTCTATTCTATTATTAAATTATTATTCAATATGTCTTGCATATTAGATTTTTTTTTCTATTCAAAATTATCCATTTTATTTCTTAGTCTTTTAAATACATAAAACGTTGCTTTTAATTTTAATATTGCTAACAAAAAAAAATATAAAGAAGTACAAGTAATTTTGGCTCTTGAAATACATTTCAAAAATAATAACATATGTTTAAAATTAGAATCTTTTACATATACATACATGTTTCTACACACTAAGTTTTGATTTTATCAATAGTTAAAGAAAGATTTTATTAAGTTTATGTTTTTTTCATTTTTAGGGCATGTCACTCAAAGATTATCGTTTGAAATGTACAAAAGAAGATTCTGAGATGCTTAATAAAATTCCAGGCCCGTTTCTATTCAAGGAAGAGTTTAATTGTCGAAAGGACTTTGTAAATGAAATAACAGATAATCTAGAAAATTTATTTTTGCGATATGATTACCTACAGAGTGATATAAAATGTACAGAAAATGTTGTCGGTGAAATGAAAAAGGTTACAGAAGTTAAAATAATAAAGTAAAGCATGTCTAAAAATTTTAAGAGTAAAATGACACAAATATGATCGTTATCACACAACAAAGATGAAAAATAGATGCTATTCACATAGCATGTATGTCCGGGAGACGTTCGGGGGATATTCCGAAGATACCGTATCTCTCAAAGATATCTTCAGGATGTCTTTTGGATATGTGTGCTGTGTGGGTAAAATTAACATTTAATAAATGTACGCGCAATTCTATTATTAAGTTGTTATTAGAATTTTCGTATGAATATTTTTCTTTATGAAAAGATGCCCATCTTATTTTTCATTTTCTTGAACATTTAAGATATTGCTAATATTAAAAATAATAGAAAATATTGTAAAGGAAATAAAGGCATACCAGAATCAAATGTATTATTTTACTCTAAAGACATTTACTGTTTTACATATTTTATAGTTGAGGAAAAAATATATTAAATTAAAAATTTCTTTGCTTTTTAGAATGTGAAGATCGAGCTTAAACACAGGAAGACGCCTTGGTATACGATAAATAATCCTAAAATACGAGCTCAAGTTAGACAAGTTCAAATTTCGTATGAAAAGCAGCGTCAAGAACTCTTGTTCTTGAGAGCTAAAAAATACGCAAACCTCATGTTAGAGGAAATAAAGGCAAGTGAAGAAGGAAAGAAAAGCTGTAAAAAATTATTACGGAAAGATAAGATAAAAAAGGAAGCTGCAATGAAAATACATGACATACAGAAAGATACGGAAAACTCGTTCAAGGTTAGAGAATATAAAATAATAAAATAATATACATGTCTGAAAACTTTTATACTAAAATAGTATAAATATCATACAACAAAGATTGAAACGAATCCAAAAATTAAAATTTAATAAATGTACATTTATTTCAATTTCTAAGGTGCTAGAATTTCTATATTATTGTTTTTCTCTATAAAAGCTTATTCATTATATTTCTTATTTTGAATAATGTATCACTTGATACCATTGCTAAAAAATAATGCATAAGAGAGAATGTATAGTAATCTGAATAAAAAAAGCTAAATTAAATTTTTTTATAATAATGCTATTAAAACTTTCTGTCACATTTTTAACTGATGCAATTTCCATTAAAACTGTAAAAAAACTTTGTAATACAGAAAATTTTGTCAAATATAATAATGCTGTTTATAAACAAAATATCTTATAAGTGTCTATGCATTATAAATTATTGATTTTATTTGTAGGCTTTTGTGTTTCGTAGTTTAAAAAGGTTCAAATATTTTTTTTTCTTAGTGATGCGAAGGTTCTATTGTTATGCAAGATTATGTATAATATAATTTATTAAATCTTAATTTTTATCAAATCTTAATGCGCGCGCGCGCACACACACACACTTTTATTTTTTACAGAAACTGATGATAATTTGCCTATAATAATATTATGATGATATAATCTTTAGTGTTAGTACGAGTCAAATACATATATTATTTATTTCTAAAAATATTTAATATTTTGTACATTTTTATCATTAAAAAGTGTATTAAATTTGAAATTTTTTGTGATTTTTAGGAACAGATATCTGAGTGTGAAATGTCCTCTTATCGCATGCCTACAGAGAATAGTGAGCATGAAAGTTTCTTGTATCTGGGAAACCTTGAAGAAAATGTGAAAGATCCACGGATAGTAAGACGCATGTTACAGAAAGGTGAACTACCGAAAATGTATGCGGCAATTTTAACAAAGAATATGAACAGTTTATATAAGGTAAGATAATATAAAGAAATAAAATAATATATGTCTGAAAACTTTTCTAATAAATTAATACAGATAGACATTATTATACAAAATAAAAATTAAAATAAATGCTAAAAATAAAATTTAAGAAATGGTACATTTAATTCTATTGCTAAATTGTTATTAAAATTATTGGATTAATATTCTTTCTATTAAAAAATGTCCATATTCTCAAAATAATATTATATAAAATATGGCATATCAGTATCAATATTGACATTAAGAAGAGTATAAAATAAATTCTCTTGCATTTCTAACTGATAAAGCTTGTGTTAAAATTGTAAAAAAAAACTGTCGAAAATAATGGGATTTAGATTTAGCTTATTAACTTTAGCTTAAATATACAAAATATTTTTAAATACAATTTTTTAGAAAAACTGCCTTTAAGCAAAATTTTATACATACATATATATCATAAGATATTAATTTTATTATAGGATTTTTTGTTTTGTAGCTTAAGATGTAGTAAAAGATTCGAATATGTTCTATTGTACTGTTATCCAAGTTTACATATAATTTATGAAATATTGAATTTTATACTTGTTTTTCAATTTTTTCTTTTACAGCTTTTATTTTTTATAAATAGATAATAATCTACCAATAATAATTTTACAAATGTTATGATTTTGTTAGTGTCAATATGAATCAGATATTTTATTTTATTCTAAAGACATGTAGTGTTTTGCGTATTTTATAGTTAAAAAACAGTATATTAAGTTTGAAATTTTTTATGTTTAGAACATGTTATTCAAACATACAATTCATCGTCATCATAATGACAACTATACAACAAAATTTAAGGAAATAATTGAAACAAATGTAAAGCGGTATATAAACCGTCATAAGAAACTAAACCAGTCTTTAGAGATAATATTCAACAAATTACTGATAATGGAAAACAAACTGAATAAAAGACAAGTGGATTTAGAAAAACTAAAGGAGAAAATGGAAAAGTTGGAGAAGGTAAGAGAATATTGAACAATAAAATAATACATATTTAAAATCTTTGATAATAAAATTAAGTAAAGATCCTATCACAAAACAAAGATGAAAATAAATACCAAAATTGAAATTTGATTAATGTGTACTTAATTTGATATAGAGTTTATATAGAATTTATTAAATTTTACTTAGCATACCTTTTTTGTATAAGTAAAGCTTTTTTTTTTTTAGATAATTTCATTTTAAGACTTCAAAAACTTCAATTTTTATTAACTCAATAGAAGTCCTATCTGGCAACATACGATGGCTTTAAGAGTATTATACTGAAGAAAGTCTAGTCTTGACAAAAAGCATCTATATTTATTTTATTCTCTAAAAAATTTGTGATCAACAATAATGCTTTGCGTAGTTCGATATTTTCTTTATTAGTATATGTTTAACTATTTATTCAAACAAACCTAATTTTCTTATTCTTATTTTTATTAAATTTCAGTTTTGATATTTTTTATAATCTTTGCTATGTAATTAAAGATAAAAAATGATAATAAAAATATATGCATTAACTATTTTTTTATTTTATAACTTTTATTTTTTTACACAAATAAATGATAATTTACTTATAATAATATTATAAATAATATAGTTTTGTTAATGTTAATACAAGTCAAATATATTTCTTTTAATTTAAAAGCGTTAATGATTTTTGCGCACATTCTATATATATTAGTCAAAGAAAGAATCTACTAAATTCTCTTTGGTTTTTAGAACATTTCAGTCATAAATGGGCAGCCTAGTAAAAATAATACACAAGATAATATTTTAACAAAAACGTTGAGTATACCAAATGTGGACAGAACGCTAGATCCTGAGATTAAAGACTCGTACAAAACACAGGCTGAAGATGAAGAGCGCGCTTTAGAAAATATAAATATACAATATAATATAAATAAACGATATAATTCTTTATTTAAAAGTACCTCAATGAGAAAAAAATTGAAGAAGATTCATAAAATAAAAAAGAATTATTTAAAAGAAATATTTCACAGTAGCTCACAGAAGACTAGGAAGTTTAATGACAACGTGGAACAGATAGAAACTGTTTTACAAGAGAACAATGAAAACGATGTCGAATTAGATGAGAAAGAGGCTTACTTTATACCTTTGTTAAAGGATGCGGAAGAGGACAGGCTCACTAAATACAAAATTTTGAATGCACAAAAACCGAACATGACAAACAGATCTTCAGAATTGGAAAACGAGATCCAGAATATTAAACAGTTTAATATAAATAACATAGAAGAAATCGTAAAGTTACATTTTGCAATTCATGAATTGCAAACTACAATAAAAAAATTAGATATCGAGTTTAACAACATTAAAAGTCATAAAAAACACGATAAATGCGAAATTGGCAGAAATGAAACGTTGAGAAGAACAGAAGAATTGGAGAAAAAGTTTGCTTTGTGGCAAGAGTGTTATAAGGAAAGTCAGAAGGTATTGGCAACAGTGACGGCCGATAATCAAAGCATAAAGTTGAAAATGACAGATTTCGAGAAGATATTTGAGAAAAAAAACAAAACACAGACTAAAGAAGAGCGCGCTTTAGAAAATATAAATGAACAACTTATTTCTTTATTTGATGAAAGTCTCTCAATCAGAAAAGAATTGAAGGAGACTTATAAAATAAAAGAGAATGATTTAAAAGAAATATTTCCCAGTAGCTCACAGAAGACTAGCAAGTTTGATGACAACGTTAAAGAGATGGAAATTATTTTACAAAAGATCAATGAAAACGATGTCAAATTAAATAAGAAAAAGCCTCACAGCCAGGGCCGCGTTTGTAAAGTTTGCGCCACGGGACTTGTGATTTTCGAGCGCCTCAATCTAGCCTCCGATGAGTGAACAGTAAATAATTAACATTTTGAATATTAATTAAATTCTATCGAAACACACTTAAGAATAAGGAGATAATTGAAAATGGAACATTTTTTATGATTATACAGAAGCTGCGGCGCCCAGGGGCTCAAGCCCCAAAAGCCCATAGATAAACGCGCTACTGCTCACAGCCTTACAACTTTGTTAAAGGATGCGAGAGAGCAATGGCCCATTAAATACGAAATTTTTAATGCACAAAAACCGAACATGACAAACAGATCTTCAGAATCGGAAAACGAGATCCAGAATATTAAACAGTTTAATATAAATAACATAGAAGAAAAAATAAAACAGAATAATTTAGAAGAAATATTTTCCGGTAGCTCACAGAAGACTAGCAAGTTGTATTACATCATAGAATAGATGGAAACTATTTTGCAAGAGAACAATAAAACCGATATCAAATCAGATAAAGAAAACGTTTCAACGTTAACAATTTTCAACAAAAGAGTGGAGGAACTGAATGAAAAACAGAAACATAAAAGAACTTTAACAGAAATAAGCAAAATGCTGAATAAAACTATTGATGAGAGTGAAGTTTTATTAGAGCAAAAAAATTATTCTCAATTTGATTTAAAAAAGAACATAAAGAAGATTAGACAGCTTACTAATCAATTTCAAAAGATTAATCACATGTATGATGCGAAGGAAACTCTCAGTAAATTTGTAGAGTTATTGTTATAGTTGAAGATTATTTCTGAATTTTCCGGCTTAATAAAGGAATTATCAAACCATAAAGACAAAAACAAGAACTTTAACAAAAAATCTCCGAAAATACTACCACCTCAAGTTTCAAAAGGAAAATTAAATAAAATCGATAATAGAAAATACGAATGTGAGCTAACAAAACAATTAGGAGATACATAGAGGTATATGGATAACAAATTGATCGATGTAGAACAAGTTGAAGCTAAAATCAAAGAAACGCATGACAGAAATGAATTATAAACCAAAACCTAATGGTTTTGAACTACTTCGCATTTTGACAATATTAGACCTCTGTCATTTTCAGCTTTATGCTTTGATTATCGGCCGCACTGTTGCCAATACCTTCTAACTTTCCTCGTAACACTCTTGCTACGAAGCAACCTGCTTCTCTAACTCTTCTGTTCTTCTCATCAACGTTTTATTTCTGCTAATTTCGTATTCATCGTGTTTTTTTATCTGACTTCTAATATTGTCAAACGACTTCGAGCTAATTTTACGTTTCTATTACGTATGCATTTAGTTCAATAATTAATGGGTTTTGAAGAGAAGGAAAATTTTGATGTCATTTGTAAAAGTAATTGGAAATCTCCAAAATGCATTTATTGTTTGCGCGCTAGAACCGTCGACGCAGCTCAACATTACATTGTTACAGAAAATAGTACATGTTGTCATAAGTATATGTTGCTTCCGTGATGTAGTAACCCATATACTCCTCAATTGTGTACAAAGAGGCAAATAAAATTAAATAACACATTAAATATAAAACAACGCAAAAAGATGATAGATGATATTGTAAGAAGTCAAGTTCATAAAATGAATTTTATAGAATTAAATTTTTACATTTTTAAATATAAATTTTTTGGTACAAAATTGGGACATAATTGTACATAATGTTTTATCTAACTTGACACTAAAATATCTTTAATATTTAGAAAAAGTAGTAAGAAAAATATTCTTTAATATAAAGAAACTATTATGTATGATACAATTTTTTTATCAAGCTCGTTTTAAAACCAATAATTTGTATTATCAATTTAAAAATTTTCATTTTATTTTAAAATATAATTTTATGTAAAAATTTTGCTCATAATGTATTTGTCTCTTCAAAGTAATTAATATTTTTTCTTACTTTTCTTATTTTTCTATATCATAAAAAATTAAATATTTTAGATAGTCAATATTTTGGTAAAATATTTTATTTGCAATCAAACTGTACAATTAAAAATTTATTTGAAACAATTTTGTTTTAATTAAAAAAGTTTTATGAAGTTTCTTTGTTGAAAGAAATTTTTCAACAGCGTAATGAAATGACATAAAGATGTTAAACATTTAAACAACCAGACAATACAAAACGTCCTGGGGACTTCCTGGATATTTTTAAAATGTTCTGAGATACTCTTCAGGATACTGGGATATTTCCAGGATTCAATATCATCATTGCAATAATAGAAACTTTTTACAGTTTATATGTTTATAAATATTTGAAAACTTTCAGATTAAGTCAGACTTCAAAGTCTGGCTGTGTAAAAATCCTTAATTAAATATATAAAGTGTAAAAAGTTTCTATCATTGAAATGATGATATTGAGTCCTGGAATACATACGTATAGATATCATCAGATAAGTATAATAGATTAATTGTGTCATGCTAAAAAATAACAAAAATTATTGAAATTAATACGTATGTATAGAAATCTATACGTAATATTTTAACGTTATTACTCACGCAACGTTTCAAAATATGATATTATATACTTAAATAAAAATAATATGTTTAATTTTGTATGTATAAAATTACTTCAAAAAATAAGGATATATTGTCAAACTATTAGTCTACAGCATTAATATTTAAAAAATTAAAAGCTATGTTTGATTGCTTGATATAGATACAAATCTTGTATCTTATATTAGTGGCAAACATACGCACATTACATAGCAAACATAGATATAAATTTATACTCTCTTATTTGTATAAATTAATATTTGTATAAATTTAATTTATATAAATATCAATTTATATAAACTTACATAAAATTTATTTTCTTTGAATCCATTAAACTTTTTGTTATGTATACATATTTTAATGAAAATGGTGTGTTTAATTATGTATTTTCAAAATTACTTAAGAAAATAAAGATCTGAGACTTCTGTATCTCTAAAACTTCGATTTTTTTCAATGATTTCTGTATGATATCTTAACTTTTAATATGTATCCTCTTTTTTTTTTAATCTTTTATAAACATATTTTAGAATTTTGTTTGATAGAGGAATTTATTATATGTATTATATATTCTTGATATTATGTGCGTATCAAATTTGTCAAAAAGATTAAGGTTGTAAAATAGTGACACAATGATATAACATTATGTGTTTTCTAATTTTAATTCCAATTATTAATGTTAAGTATGAAAATTTAATTATTCGTTTTTTTATTTAGAACAATCTCGTTAATAACAACACAATAAATTAAGATAATGTCATTTATAGATTATAATTATTAATTTATAATAATACAATAATATACAATAATTTTCAAATTTGCGTCATTTATATTTATGTGATTGGAAATATGCATGTGTAGTTGCACGTATTTTTCTTTCGTTCTGTTAATTTATCACTAATTTTAATTAGAAAACGAGCTTGGAATATATATGTATATATATAT